TTGGGCCTCTGTACTGTGGACTTCATGGGGAGAAATCTGCCAAAATCAGGGGAAGTTCCGTGCTCCTGCCTCTGTAGGTACCGAAATAATTTATAGGAACTGAAATCATCCAGCTAGGGGCAGGTGTTTCTAAGGAATCTGATCCATTTGCTTTGACCCTCATAAAATGACATTTTGGTTTACTTGGTGAAGAGAGGACCAAGTGCGATGTGAACCACTGGTTCCTACCGTCAGTTTTGTGTTCCCGAGGGAAAACCTGTTCTGTGCCAGTAAACGTCGGTGGCAGAATGTGAAGTGCCCTTGTACTGTCTTACAAGCAGCAACGTGTTTCCTTCTCATCTGCCAAAAAATGAAGATTGTAGCAGAATAGCGTAACGCAGGGCGGATCAGTGGGTGCGTTTGAACGTATCGTGTTTTGGTCGAAGGGAGTTTTCATCTCAGTGTGTCTCTGATATAGAGAGAACTTTGCAAACAATATCCTTTTTGAGTATGACACACAATCCTTGAGATATTTGCAATAGATCTGTTGGGTTTACACCACTTTGCTATGTGTTTGGTACTAAAACATGCTGAAAAGGGCTCACTGAAGCAGACATCGGAGAACCAAGTGGTGTTACTTCAGTGGTCAGCAGTGGGCTTTGCTCCTGGGAGGTGTACAGATGTGGTGGTATCTGAGCACTGAGCTGAAGAGCAGTATTTTCTTTATTAAAACCTTCGTGTCCATGATGCCTTCTGATGGGATTCTTAGATCTGCCCATGCAGATTAAGTTAACTTCTCAAGCAGATTTATTTTTCTAGCTGAAGTAACAAACATTGAACTATTTTTTTAAATTGTTTCTTTTCATCCAAGGAGGGAGATTTTTCTTTTTTTTTCCAGTGAGTTGTTTTTGAGATCTGAAACTGTGATATATTTTCATTTGCAAGTGGATATTGCATCTTTAATTGTATTCTTCTTGGACAGAATTGCAAATTTCCACAGTGACCAATGCAAACCTAATGAAAACAATTTTGGATCTGTCACAAGTAATCAGAATTCTAGTCTGATGACTTTTGGTCCACTTTGGCCACCTTTTAATGTCACGGTAATGTAATTGTAAAAGGAAATTGGGGGGTGGGGGATGGCTTTAAAAAAAATAATGTGTGACCTAGGAGTGCCTGTCAGACAGATCTAAGTGTGCACTGAAGCTGCCTAAACGGATCTCTTCCAGGAGGAGGCAAATTCCAAGTGTCCTGGATCTATTTTGTTGGTAATAACATAACCAATTCGAGTTGCTTTTTGTATCTAGTGCCTAATTTTTTTTGAGTAAGACTGTTACAGTTTTGGTTTGTCAGATAATCGCTGAAAGGAAAACACTGAGATTATAATGCAGTCTCACTGGATCCCAGTCGCTGAAGTGTGTTTTCACTGTAAGATAAGCTTATGAAGTATTGCCCAAGCTAACATAGTAAATCTTTCTCAGAAAACATGTCTTTGCCCAGGGTGGAAATATTGAATGGTCATTGGATAACCACTGCAGTAAAGGGGTCAGAATAATTAATTTTTAGTTTGGCTTAATGCAAGGAGTTTCTTCCCACCTCCCCTGCTCAGAATCCTGCTCCTCTCACAAGTTAACTCTCCTTTAGGATTGCCTCTGTGGTTCTGCCCCGTTGTGGGAGATGTTTGTGTCTCCCAGCTCAGATCATCTAGACCACCAGTCTCTGGTGGGGCCTCAATACCTCCTCTCTCCATCCACCCACCAATTCCCAGTTTCACTGAAGGGAAGGAGGATGCACAACGAAAAACAGGGACTATGCAAAGTGTATTTGGGGGACTCGGGTACCAGACTCAAAGCAGGTTTTCGCTGCCTTGATACTTCAGTTGAGACTGAGGTTTCTGTGCAGGAATTTCACAACCGAGCCAGGACGTTGGATCTGGGTAGTTGGCCTTTCTGAGCAGGGGGTTTTGTCACAGGGAGCCCCCATTGCTGGTGCTGTGCTGCTGTAGACCTCTGGGCACTGGATGCAGCCCTGGTACTGACAGAATTTTGGCTTTGACTCAAGAGGAGCAGCTACAAGCTGTCGAGAAGCCCAAAAGTGCAGAGTTCTTTGCCCTAAAAGTGCAGAGTTCCTTGTGTGTCTTCTTCCCTGTCCCTTGTTTCAGGAGCATTGCCCATCAGTAAGTATGTGATGATCTTTAGATACTGAAGTTGGTTAAGAAATGTGGGTAGGAATAGGTACATGGCTGGGATTTGCTTCCTTCTGTTGATGGTGTAGTTGTAGGTCCCAGCCTCTGTCTGCTGGAGTCTCTAATAATCCCACGACTTTTTGGCAGGGATACTGAAACTGGAGAGACCCCTGAGGAAGAGGGCACTCTCCAACCAGCCAACGGCCCCTGGTTGATACCGGCTGTGAAGGGAAAGGGCAGGTTCTGTCATGTGCCACAGTGAGCATCGAAATGCCTTCTGGTACCTTTCTGGGTTTGCATGGGGCTCAGCTTCAGTGGGAGGGGGACGGAATGCCCCGGCCCTGCCTGTTCTTCATGCCAAGCAAAGGAAGCCCTGGTCACTCAGTTGCTTGCTCCCTGTGACAGCCCCCTCCTTGTGCTCCTGTGATTTTGCACACAGGTATGGGATACCACCCGGGGACACTGCTGGCTCCTTTTTTTGACAGGGAAAGCTGCTTCAGTAAAGAAACGCCAGTGAGTTTTTTGCGAAATTGGAGCTGGAAGGAGAAATGGAAAGAAGGCAGCGCTAACAAGGGCATGTTCCTCGCGCAGCTCCTGGTGCTCTTCTCGTTCTTGCCTGCTGGGCCTTGAGTCACTGCCGTCGTTCCGCTACGCTGGGAAAACAGCGAGTGCAGCTCTTGCTTTTTTTCCAGACACGTTTAGATCTGGTTTCAATTCCAACCAGTATGAGCCATTCAGTGGGAGAGGGTTCATTCCAGTAGAGCCCCGGGCTTGTGGCAGGTATGCCTGGGCACGTGGCCTCTGGAAGGCTACCTACCTCCCCTGGCCTTCCGGGCCTGCCAACCCTTCTTTGTCCCAAATCATCCCGATCTTTGCCCTAGCCATCTTTATGGTCAGCACACCATCAACCCCTGACTATTAACTGATGGCTTGCAGTTTTTAAGAAAACAAAACAGCTCCTTGCTTTTATTCTTTACTAACTGGTGGCCTGGTATGACCTTTAGCTGGCAAAGATCTTAGAGGAGGCAAGCAAATGAGGTGTGTAATTGGGTCTCCCCACTTTTTAAACTGTTTATAATCATCTGAGCAATTTTTTTTTCTTTCAGTTTGTTTGTCACTATGAAACTCTGGGTGGTTTTGTCCCTCAATAACCCCGGTTGTGGCACATCTGCGTTCATCTCAGTAAGAGAAGTAAAAAGGAAAGGGTTTTGCTGCTGCCATTACTGGTGGGTTTTTTTAGGAAAGTAGATTTTTATTTAAACTCCTGAATATCTGTCTGTTCTTCTCCTGGCCTTGCTGGCAAGTCAGTAAAGATAAAATAGAAGTAAAATCACTTAGAACCTTCTGAAGAAGATGATCTCTGGGGAGAGGCGAAGTCTGAGGAGCTTTGTTTCAGAGAGCAAAGCTGGGGATAATTAGTGGCATATGAGAACCAGAGTTAGTCATCAGAGCGATAGCCGTCATTGTCAAACGACTGCTGGGGTAACGTCGCCCGAAGGCAGCCCAGGCCGTCCACGGCAGCTCGACCATCTGTGAACGTGCCCTCGTGATGGTGGTGCACAGCCGTTCCCCCCGGGGCAAGCTGCTGCCCCCCGCTCCCCCCAAGCGCTGGTCCCCAGCGCCCTGGCACTGCCGGCAGCGGCAGCCTCCCCTTCATCCGTCATGTCACCAGCAGCCTCTGCCGAGGTCCCTGCGGGACAGATGGGTGTCATCTGGGGGCCAGGGTCTGTGTGTCACCGCTGTTCTCTGTGAGGCTTCCTGGCGTGCGTTGAGTGCCGTTGGCCCGCTGGAGCACAGTCTGCAACGAAACGTTGCTTTATCTTGTGTCTTCTAAGGGAAGCGGTGACAGCCACGTCTCTTGGAACTTGCAGTCAGTGCCACGGTTTCTCTTTAAGACAGCAAAATTCCGACTGAACGCTCTCAGACTGATTTTAGCACATGTGCTTGAGATGGATGCGATTGCCATACAAGCGGAAAAAGACAGCCGTCTTCCATGAGCCCTCTGGAGAAGAGTGCATGGATGTTTCCAGCTGAAAAACACTCTCAGACTAGGAACCAAGAGCTCTTAGCAGTGATGCAGCTCCAGGAGGGATGGGTCCCAGCCTTCTCCATGGCAAAGGTGGATGTTTGTAAACACTACGTGTGTTTGGCGTGACAGCCACCTATAGCAGATACTTCCAACTCGGATACTCAAATATTTGAAAATCGCAAACTAGAAATTAGTTAATTGAAATATTCTCAGTAACTGGTGAAGAGATTTCAGGAGGAGGGAGCTGTTTGTCATCTCTAGCAATTACTTTCATAAGGCTCTTTTATAATCCTGATCCACAGCTGAAGAGGGTCAATGTGAATATGGTTTGAGTTTCAAAGATAAATGTGCATATCATCAGCCTGCATAACATTTTAGAAAGAAATTCAATGTTAAATGAATGTATGTACTTAACAGAGTATTTATATAATGTTAATGACTCTACCTAAGAAATGCCAGGGAACTCATGTAGTTCACAATAGTTAATTGTTTTAATTAACTATTAAAGAATGTGTTTTCCACCATTTTGTTTACTATAGCTGGTATAGTTGTACTTGCAAAGCTTGGATTTAGTTTGGGTTTTGTTGGTTTTCAGCAGATCTGCATGATAAGTGAACATACATCTGCTCTCTGTGGTAGACTGGAAAAGTAATAATTGCTTCATGCTTGGCTATTCTGACCCTTGATCTTTCTCCTTTCAAATAAGTCTACTGCGTGCGCCTCGTATTGTAGTTTACAGCAAAGGCCCAACACACATTCCTGATGGAAATGTGCTGCATTAACTTGTGTTTGTCTTGTCTGATGCAGCGAAGGCTGTTGGGATCGGTGGTGTGCACAGAACAAAGCAAGATGATGGACCCAAGGTGAATGATCCCAGGCTCCTCCCGGATAAGTTCCTTCAAAGGACAGCCAAGGTAACTCCGGGGAGAGTGACCAGTGAGCACGTGTGCGGTCCCAGAGCCTGAAGGAGACTAGCCCTGGCCTCACTGTAGTCTCCATCTGTTGGTCTTTGGATCTCATTCCCCATTTCAAAGAGACTCATTGTCTGATCCGATAAGAATCGAGCGTCTTGTTCTTTTTACCAATTATCCTGGCTTAAATTCCCTTTGTTTGTTATGCAGAATTACTTAGCAAGATTCAGAAAAAGGATTGGATACTAATGTGAGTCTCAGGATACCCAAAGTTGTCAGAATTAATTCTTACAGACTTTGGAAAGGCTGCTAGTGCTCTTGGTTCAAGATTTGGGTCAATCTCTGCATGTTAAGAGATCAGAAAAGGACCACTGGGTCAGGTCTCTTCCACATCTTGTGCTTTCCCTTGCAGCCTTTGATTCTGGTCCCTGCTGTGGGCTGGGCCTGCCATCTGGTCTCATCCAGCGTGGCAATTCCAGCGCTCAGAATCGCACAGAGGTGCAGCTCCTGAAACCTTCTGGAAGGATTCTTCTGTATAAGCTTAGGAAATCGGCTATAATATTTCTGTTATCCAGTGATTTATTATGGTCTACAAAAATACAGCCTGGATGAACACCTCTCTGGAACAATTATTTAGTGATATTGTAATTTATTATTCTTTTCAAAGCCATCTTGTATAAAGGTAAAATAACCCCTAACTTCAGAAAGCACAGAGAGGAGGGGAGAACTGCCAAATTCCCCACAGCACATCCTTTCCTGTGGTTAGCATTGGATCCGCCAGCGGCACCATTTTTGGACTGGCCTGTTCTGCGCTGAATGTCAAAATCACAGGCCGGGGATACAAATGAAAGATTTTTACAGGAGTTACTTGTATGTTGTGGCTAATTCCCTGCATTTGGAAGCATCTGCTTCTTGTCTGGTTTTGTTCTGTAATCAAGAAAATTGCTGTAGGGAGCTAGCACTTGAAAGGCACTCGGCTCTTCTATAGCCACGAGCAAGATGGCAAGGAAAATGCATTGTAAATAGGTACTCGGTTGAAAAATGCACACACACGTATACACACACATGGAAAACATGATATAGGCCTTGTGATTTTTCCAGATATTCTGCTAAGCCTCTGTGTATCCCTGTTCTTTTAAAGAAAATAAAGGTATTAACTAGAAATCTTTGCCTCTTCCAGGTGGTCTATATTTTGGAAAAGAAGCATTCCCGCGCAGCTACAGGCTTCATCAAGCTTCTGGCAGACAGGAACAGTGACCTCTTCAGGAGGTGTGCCATGTTCTCACCTGTGGACCACAGGGTGCCCAGGGTCTACGTGTCTTTGGCTGATTGCCCTCCAGACTTTGTGACCAGGCCTGAGGACTATTCAAACATGCTCTTCATCTGTCGCATAGTGGACTGGAAAGAAGACAGCAACTTTGCAACAGGGTATGTGGCTGCCGTTGGAAATAGGGGTGACTGAGATTTCCGGTCAGAGTTCCTGGTTTCACTTAATTTGGTACGTGCAATAGAGATGGGAAATCTGTTAACAAGATACTTGTCTTGTATCCCTGTGGTATGCAGTGGGTAAACTGTGATGAGGCTAAGGATAGCTCGTCGCTAGTTAAACCACGACACTACATAATGTTGGTCTCTCTAGGTGCCTGCTTCAGTGTGCTGGTGCATCACAGCATTAATGAGCGTATGGCCTTCGCTCAGAAGAGCTTGCAGTCTAGAGGGAACACACGCTGGTCAGCACAGGCACCGTGGGGTGCTGGCAGCTATTCAATCTTTCCTCCCTTTTTGTAAGAGTGTGTCGTGGTTTAACCTGCACAGAGTAGTACACAGTGTGTAGGCATTTCTCTTCTGCCAGAGAAAGAAGATCAGTAGCTGTGAGGCTCCTGTTTGGTTTTTGAAAGAAGTCACAGATTATTGTGGTTTTAAATTTGCATTGGTTCAAGGGAGGATACTAGAAATCAAGAGAAGATTAATTAACTCCTGAAGTAGATAAGGGTATTGCACTCTGTGCTTATCAGAAGCTGCTGTAAAGCCATTGCTGTCCTGAGTTCAAATTGCAGGCACTACCGTGAAGGAAGAGATTTTAAGCCAGGGCTACTCAAATGGCCTATGCTGGGCTGGATCCAGACTGAAAGGTCATTTTGCCTCTTCTTGTGGCAAAACTCCCTGTAGTTTTCAGCATTTGCAGTCTTTCTTGGGAATAGCTGCAGTGTGCCAAGCACCCACCTGGAGTGGCAGTGCTGATTTCCTGTTAAGTGGGTCTCAAGAAAAAATGGTGGACATTGATGAATCTATTCAGTTATCTTGGGAAAAACTGAACAGTCGTGGTTTAGTTGGTGATTTGGACTAGGTATCTCTGACCTGTGGCAATGCTGTGCTCAAATTTTACAGGTGATGGGAATCTGGATGTAGTCTGGAGCATGTGTGTAGTGGGAGTTCGGCGTAAAGCACAGCTTTTCTCTTTCCTTGCAAAGCTGTTCTGATGGGGTAGCACAGCTGGTGGACAGTGTCAGCACCATGGGTTTTGGAGTCCTCACCTCAAACTCCTGGTAAAGCTTAATACGTGCATAAAACTTGTGGGTTTTAAGAGTAAGTATGTTGGCACAGATCTATCAGCCCTAGAAGTAAAAGTAAACTCAAGTCCCTCTGAAATGAAGTTCATTATCAGTTGTGGCTGCTTTGCATGCCCGGTAATAGCAAGTTTCACGTGTACTCCTTGAGAGCCACATGAGCTGTTAAGTCCGTCAGTATTTCCTAGCTGGACTGCGGCGCATGAACTGAAGCTGCCCCCTTTGAGCTCCACTTAACTAGGGGCTGGCTGCGCTGGGAACTTCACTATGACTAAGCTTCTTATTGGCAGAGATTTTCTTTGTCTTCCTGGACTCCAACAGAGAAAAGAGTGGAGGGTGATTGTACTGCTTGCCTTCTTGCCATGAGCAAACCCCCTTCTCAGCAGAAACAGGGGAAATTAGGAGGATGGGCTAATGTCTTCTTTCCTGGTGTGTGTCTTTAATCTGGGCTTCTGACAACATTATATATTCTCATCTGGCTGTTTCGGTAGTTTCCAAGTTGTAAAGGGTGTTGTCAGGAAAGAAAACGTCCATGATTGTCTTCATACATAACTCTTTCCTCTGGGACTCGGCTGTGCTTCAGTTAAGTGCCTTGCGGAGATGGGACCATAAAGCCTTGGTGACCCGTTTTGTTTTTAACTATAAATACATGCTTGTTTAAACACTGAAAGACAAGGAAACCTCTTGAGGGTCCCAAAAGTTCCTGTTTGCTTTCAGACTGGTTTATAGGCTTGCTTATAAGATGTGTAGCTAGCCGTGGCCCCAGCTGAAGGAGAGGAGAGCAAGTGATCTGCAGCTCGTTGCACGTTTGGGTTTATTGAACACTTGTGCGTCCCTTAGTTCTGCCCACAGACTTCATGGTGCCCCTTGGGCAGCACCACCAGGGATTTGAAGGTGTCTGGACTACAGAGCCTGCAGGTCATCACTGCACTATCTGAGTCTGCTGGAAGTACGGCAAGGAAAACTCCCTCCATAGTTGGCAGGCATTTCCCATGGATACCTTGGGTGTTTCCAGGTACTCTCCATCCTGCAGCTGAACTCCCCCTCAGCTGGTCATGCACCTTCTGCAGCTTTCCTTTTCCCTTGGGAAGCTCACTGCCGGGTTTCCAAGCACAGTTCTCAGCATATTCTGGTCTTCACAGTGACTGTGTGTGGCTGAAACAGTGGGATGCCCTGGCCAAGAGTTTGGTGGTGGCACTGGCCACCCAGGGTGGTCACCTGCACGGGGGCAGTCCCTGGAGGTCTCCTGGGGAGGGGGTGTGTTTCTGTGTCGTGATTGCCACCTGGTGGTCACCAGCGAGACACTATCCCCTCTGAAAGCCACCCTGTCCCCTCTGAGGGCCACCCTGTCACCCCAACCGTGCTGGGAATGAGCAGGGAAGAGCTAATGGCTCCATGTCCCACTGGTGATGCCCTGAGTGGGTGCCGCTGGGCTCCCTCCTGCATGTGGAGGGAGTTTGCCGTGGCAGTGAAACGCCATGTAGCTGTACCTGCTTCAGGTAGCAGATAATGCAAAATAGCTCCAAAATAGTCTCCTTTTCCAAGTAAATATTACAAGTACTACCATGTGCAGTTATTTTCTGGAGGCCTTTTCTCAATGATGGAGTCCAAGTTTGTTTGGAAAATTAGTCTGGACGTCTCCACACTTTTGGAGATGGTTAAGGTGGAGTCTTTTTGCCCCCACATATGTTGATGGATGAGACTATTTAAAAAAAACAACAGCCAAACAGTAATAATAAAATGTCAAATCACTGCCTCCTCCTGTGTCACACGGGGCTGGTGGCTTTTCCAGCTCAAGGCCTTAGATATTGGCCTGTCAAGGTGACAAGATTTGTCACGGCATTTGCAATAAAATGAAACGTTGCGGGGTGTTCTTTCACTTGACCACCTTTCTTTCCAAAGCCATCCAAGTGGCTTGAATTCCTTTCCTCTCTGGCATTTTATTCCTTTTTTATCCCTAAATTCACAAATGAACGTGGTGTGAGGGGAAATGGCTGGATACCCTGGGTAGCTGGGAGGCTCGAGGGAAGGTCTGATTCCCAAGCAGTGTAGCTCTGTTGGATAAACACCTTCTTGCAGATGGGACTGTCTCTCAGGAAAACTGTGTTCCCTCGGCACAGTCAATCACCATACAGCTCTGAGGCGTGGGATAGCCCCACCTTTGTGGGGAGCACCATGCTGTGCCTGTGCTTCCATGGAGGGTCCAGGAGCTGGAGGGTGGCAGCTCCATGGTCGGGGTGGGGCTGGACCGCGCTCTCGGGTTCCCATGGCACAGCTTGCTGTCTCTGTGGTGCTGCAGACATCGCTCCATCTCCACTGGGGCCTTTGGGCTTTGTCAAGCTGCCTGTGAGCTCCAGGCCCTGGGTGGTGGGAGCAGCCGGGTGGCCTTCCTTGCTGTCCCCTCTCCTGCTGCTGTACAAGCTTCCTCTAGGAGCAGTGGCTTGTTGATGTGTAGGATGTCCTCCCACTGCAGAAAGACACCCTCCATGTAGGGTGACTGTGAACAAGTCAGCTCCAGGAGAGACTGAGTAAGGTTGTTAAGTCCCCATGGAAGTTATTCATTCCCGTTTGGGAGCCTGCCCGGCTTTCCAAAGGAAACAAGCCTTATGTAATTACACTTTGTCTTTTTGGAGAGTTCTTATCATATAACCTTTGAACACATGGGCCAGTTTCAGCTGAGTCTGGGGAGTGGAGAGGGCTCACGTGTTGCTATAAATGGGTGGCCAAATGGGTGTCCCCACGAAGGGGAAGATGGCAGCACAAGTGTGGCTCTGTCCCAGGCGCACACACGCAGGAGGTCCCGCTCCAGTGAGTCTGCAGCTCGGAGCAGTTCAGTGGTCTCACAGCTATGGCTGTTTTGGAGGAACACCCTGTGCTGCCCAGAGCCCCAACTAGGGCACGTCCCCATCTGTGCATGCTGCCGCTGCCCCTGACATCAGCCCAGGAGCATTCGAAGAAGCCTCCAGCACGCTCTAATGCTGCCCCATCAACGTCACAGAAAACGAACGTTTATGTCTGTAACCATTACAATTTTTTTACCTTTTAACATCTTAAAAAAAAAAACCCAGCAAAACAAACAGATACACGCAAGCCTGGGGTGTCACAGACACCGTGACTCCTGGGAGCGAACGTCTGACTGCCGCTGGGCCCTGTGCCTGTTGTTGTTTATAAGCCTCTTGAACTATTCTTGCTACCCTTGGTGGCCGCGGAGCCCTGTGAGTGATTTTACAGCCTGACTGCTACTCCGGGGCCATCGGTGATCCTATATGCGTTACCTTTGATCACATGCTGTCCTGTCAGATTTTGCTCTGATGCAAGTCATCATGTCTGTGTGACTGTAACATGGCCCCAATTAAAGCCAGTTGTACACTTTTTATTTCAAGGTACTTGGGAAATGTTCCCTGGAACGCTGTAAATCAAATGTTAATTACTATAAAAAAAATATTAGTCCTGTATCAAACCTCTGGGTAAACCCCTTATGGTTCATAATCTAATTTCAGTAAACGGATCAAGGGAACATGGGTTTCAGGACTGAGCTGGAAGGCACTCTGGCATTCAGAGGTGCTTTCCATGACTAGTCGTGCAGACGTCCAGCTGCCCTCCTGGTGCACTTCCCAGCTCTGCCCTTCCAAGAGGAGGGGCACCTGAGACTCAAGCGCTTGCCATTTCTTTCTGGTAGGGCAACATCTCCTCTCTTTTCCTCTTTTGTTTTTCTTCAGTCCATCCGTAGTGGTGCTCCTGGGCCTGTGGACCTGAGGGCTCATCCTTGCTCAGTCTCCCTGGGTCGCACTAGACATTGGAAGTGAAGTGGTAATTTTTCTGGTTTATTGTTACTGCTTAGAGAGAGGGAGATAAAACTGATGCCTCATTTATTTGCATTAAAACAGGGATCAGGCTGGGATCAAGCTGCAGGAGCAGAGCGCTCGGCCCCGATGCCAAATGCGCACGTATTTCTGCCATACAGTTTGTACATAAAACTGAAACAATGGAGGGAAATATCTTTTATCCTTGTTTTCATTTTTATTTTAAAGCTAGGCAACACGAGCTCTACGGTTTACCACACCGCGCCATCCTTCCCAGCGTATTACACAGCGTGACGGGTTTATCACGCCAGCCCTTCCCGTGGTGAGGAGAGAGCGCTTAGCTCCCATAAAGAAGATGGGCTTGCCTGTGCCGTGCGGATGGGGTTTGTTCTGTGGGTTTATGGCACGATTGAAGCCCTGAGAGCATCTTGCTTTTCCAAATGACAAGCATGCTGTTTTGGCCCCAATTTAGGAAAGTAATTAGTGCCTGTTCTCACTCATTGGAATTAAAGCAGGAGGATCAATATAATGATTGTGTATTTTATGCAGCGGAAAACCATGTATTAGAGTGGCTGATTTTGTGCTGTGTTATTACCCCTCTCTTTTGTGTCATATTTTGATGGATTTGCCTTAATTTCAGTTGTCGTTTTCGTGGGTCAGAAGCGTTATCTCTGTTGGCTGTAATGTCCCATTTGCCCTAATGGCAGTATATTAAAAACAAAATAATAATTTACCTCTGTGTGGTGTAGAGAGATCTCAGGGTGAGAAGGGGGCGAGGGGGAGCCACCACGGGACACAGGTTCTCATGTAGTAACCAGGTAGGGAGGGGGCGACTGTCCCCTTCATTGGAGTCCCAGTTTGCGTGCTGTGACCAGAACCAAACGCTTCTGTGACACGAGAGCGCTCAAACGCGCGCTGGGGTTTGCGCTGGAGCAGATGGAAACTTTCTCTAAGCATAATCGAGCAGCAGCCTCATCCACACATGTGCAGGATACTTCATCAAAGACTATTGGCATGTGGGGGACAGTTTCCCCTGGCTGTGACTTGCTTGTAGATCACTGGCTCCTCTCCAGCTGGCTCCTGGTTCAGAGGCTTCTGCTTAGCTAGGAGAGAAGGGACAAAACTGTGGATACTCCATCCCTGGAAGTGTGCAAGGCCAGGCTGGATGAGGCTTTGAGCAACCTGGTCTAGTGGAAGGTGTCCCTGCCCATGGCAGGGGGGGTGGAACTAGATGGTCTTTAAGGTCCCTTCCAACCCAAACCAGTCTGTGATTCTGTGAATGTTTAGGACCTGGAAAGAGCCTGGAAAATGGTTGGAAAGACAATCTGTGGGCATATCTGTGTGTGCAACTTCCTGTGAGGAAGGCAGTAAAGGTTCCCCACCCACTGCAATGCCCTCACAGTTTGCCCAGGCAGAGGCGTATCCTTCAGGGTGTAGAGGGGTGTGCTGGGCTCCCTGGGAGCTCTTTTCCACAGAGCTGTCTGGGATCGGGTCCTAACCTGTTCTCCATTTCAGATAGCAGGGACTAAGTCACGTTTTTCAGTAATGAGGAGGGGAAGGAGGATCTCAAGGGAACCAGCCATGTGTAAAGCTAGAGCTGTCTGTGTGGAGGGCTGTGCTTTTCTTATCCCTGTTGGATATATCTGCTTTCTAAAATTTCACACTTTCTTACCCCTGCAAAAACCTAATAATATAAAATGTCTCCTTAAAATCAGATACAGAAATCTAATAATATAAAACCTCTCCTAAAAATCAGATACACAAAGCAGCCCAGAGTACTGCCTAGTATTTTGCATCTCCAGCAGACATAAGTCATGGTATGGTTTCTGAGTCCTGTGCCAAAACTCAGGGAGAAGCAGATGGGTGAAAGAGTATGTTTGAGGGCTCAGCAGCCTCTCTGCGGGGACACTAACAACTTGACAGTAGTAATTATACACTTTAAAAAAGCATCCCTTCCTTTCATTCTGCAGGCAGTTGGCCAAAAGTCTTGGGCAGGCTGGGGAGATTGAGCCGGAAACGGAAGGGATCCTGACGGAGTACGGTGTGGATTTCTCTGACTTCTCCCCCGAAGCCCTGGAATGTCTTCCCCAGAGCCTGCCCTGGGTTATCTCACCGGGAGAGCTGGCCAAAAGAAGAGATTTAAGGTAACGACAAACAGCGCGGTCTGACGCTCCTCCTTGGCTTGGTGCAAGGTTGTGTTGTTTTCTTTTGTTTTGTTTTTATTTTGTTTTGTTTTCATCACGCTTTGAAAAGGCACTGACTTATGACATGTACCCTATTACACGTCACCTGTGCTGGCGTGAAAGGGAGCTGCTTTTGAAAGTACCTACAAAGCTAGGAGATCAGCTATTTGGAGAAGTATTTTGTGAGGCACAGAGGCTTTTTTCTCAACAGAACTATTGAAAACTGAAAATTTGGTGTTTGGCAGCTAATCTGAAAGCTTTATGTTTTTGTCTGGAATGTATTACGTATTTTAGTGGTAGTTTTATAGCAGAGATTTTCTGAATGCCTGGCAGATCAAATGATCTTGGGCATTGCTACTTTGAAACTTAAGCACAGGTAGAGACGGTCCTGCGTTTTCCTGTCTAGTCTCAACATTCTTCTCTGGTTTGAAGAACCGGTGTCATGTGGAGTTTATGACGGCTCTCGATCAGGTTAGCAGCTGGCAAATGCAGCCCTTCCTGCCGCCCGACAACCGTGCTGTCCACTTACCTCGCATTAGCCATCCCTGCAGCTTAGTGATGCTCCCACCAGCCGTCGGGAACTCTGTGGTCTGTTGGGTGGTAGATGCTCTGACGTTGCTGGGCTACCCAAAACTAGTGGATTTGCTATTCTTCAGATTGTCAGATTTCAGAGACGGCTTTCTTAGAAAAGATTTAACGTCAAAAGGAAGGTAATTTGTTTAGATCTTCACTTTGCAACAAAGGAAGGTGCAAGACAGCAAACCAATACATGCGTTATTAAGTTGCTGTGGTGTGTTCCACTCCCACCCTTGCCTATGCTACAGCATCCTGTCTCAGCTCTCAGATTCATTGCTTTCTTGCATATTGGTGAGGTGAAAGAGCCCCGAGAACCTGATTTCTGAAGGCACTGTACTGCTACAAGTGCCTGTATCTATGTAGCAAGCTCCTCTCCCTCTTAGTTTATGTGTTATTGACATGGATATCAGCAATTTGAGCAGATAAGCTGATAAACTACAGCCATTTGTATCTGTACCTGGACTCCAGATGTTACTTTGGGCCTAATCCTGCACTGTAGCCTGCAACCTGACTGCTTCAGCTTTACTGGATTTCCATTGCCATACAACGAGATAATTCAGGGGAGAATCACTGTAGGCTTCAAGTAGCTTTAGCAAAAAATCTGCAGTTCCGAAGTCACTGGAAAGTACTTATTTTTGTATTCTTGACTACATTTCAGTAGCCTTTTCTGTTTCTTCTGACCGAGTTTTTCAGGCAAGTAAAGAGCTTGACTTGTCTCCAGTCAGACAATCAGTTTTGGAAACAAATTCCAAGGGCATTTCTTGCTTTTATTGCTGAATTATTACACTGGGACTTATCAAGGTGATAACAGTTTTGCAGTTAAGCCATTTAAATCCCTCTCTGCCCCTTCCCGACCACAGTGCACACTACAAAGTAGATTTCCTTTTGATCCTCTCAAATATAAACATTTAGCAGTCAAGGTTTTTAAGACAATTATTTGAGCTTAGTTTACTAATCCTTTTAATGTCAACTGCCACACCGCCAACTAACTAGTCTGTGGTCTAAACACAGAGATAACGTGAAGCTTCTAGTTATGGAAAGTAAAATGCAGATGAGTCTTCTTTTTTGTTTCCTCACGGTGAGAGGTTTGTCTACTCAGAAAAAGATGAGTTTAGGAGTAAACGTAGCATGAATCATAGCTCAGAGGAGGCCTGCAGTTGGAGACCTGGCCACCATCTCTTCTGGTCTCACCCATCAGACCTTGAGAGACTGTTCTTGACAAGTCCCAGGGTAGCTCGGCTTTGACTTGGTGTGGAATATTAGCTTTCGTGTGGTCAGGGATAAACGCGTTGGGGCCTGCAGCGTTGTACAGATGGCCCAGGTACACGCTGGCCCAGGCTGGCACCCAGAGGAAGACACCTGAACCGGGGTATCTGCTCTGGGTGCAGACGGGAGTTGTTTTCCCGGGGAGCTCACACCGTGGTCAGGGGCACCTGCCTCTGCGAGCGCCCATCTTTGTGTACTCTGTGCACGTTGGTCTGTCAGGCTCCCCAGATTACAGTACGCTGAGAGCGCAGCATGAGATGAGTTACAGGGAAATAAGGACTTGTCTTTTCTCCTGAAACACCCGTGTTAACGCTTCCTAGCTCATCCTAATTCAGTTTACACGTTGCTCACCTGATAAGTGTAAGGACACGTTAGAGTTTGGCCTAAAATATTTCCATCTCTAGTAACTCCTCTCCACTACTGTAGCACAGTGCTGTACGTTTTCTAGTGTCACGCATTAAGCTTTAGGGATTTGGAACCGAGACCCAAGCAAAGTCCTGTGTTTCTGGGCATTTCCTCTTCCTGAGATAACTTCTTGTTTCCTTTCATCACGGGAAAGGACCCTTTCGTCCTCAGAAGGTAACTTCTGTGTTCTGCTGCCTGGTGTGGTCGGGTCTGTTGGTGAGTCAGTGTGCAGAGCACGGAGGTAGAGGCTCCGCACTGGAGGCATTTGTGAGTGTGGTTTCAGATGAAAGTGAGACCATGTGTTTCACCAAGCTGCTGAGGCTGGGCAAGAGGAGGGAAGGATATTTTGTCCATGCCATCTTGTAAATATGTTCCTTGATCTTCCTGCAAGTCAGTTTTACAGGAAGCCTGTTCTTGCCACGGATAGTCTGTTTGGATAGCAACTGTGATCTCACCTACATAGCCTGTGCAGAATTGCTTCCAGGAGATCTTTTTATTTTTTTCTTTTCCCCTCATTTCTGCAGTAATGGCTCACAAAGAAAGGTTTACATAATATTTTAATATTACTTAAGGCAGAAAAGATCCAAACCTCTTGGATGGCTTTGAAATCTTCTAGCTGTTTTAACTCTCTGCCACTACTGGACAGTATTGCTGTGGACATCTGCCTTTTACCTGCATGGGTTTGTCTATTTGTAAAATTAGGCAAGTCTTTCACAGGCGTGCTTGTTTGCAAAGAGCACCAAAAACTCCTAATGAAAAGCACTAGGCAAGTATTAGGTGTTGGCATTGCGTGCTGCAGTTGTGTTTTATAGAGAGCAGGGAGTTTCATAAAGTATCAGAGTAGCGTGGTGGAGGAAACTTCCCTTCCAGAGACTTTAAAGGTGATAATACAGATAGGACCAGAGTTCTTTTATTATACAAGTTGACTGGAATTGCTGTTTTTTCATTAGAAGCTTGAGAAGTGTTTGGTTTCTGCTTTTAGAGAAACATTGGAGGATTAGTGTCATAGAGACAAATTTTGATGGGTGCAAAGTTTCAACCGTTTTCCGGTCTTTTCCAGTGTTTCAACATGTAATTTTTATTTCCTTGTTTGCTTTGCTTTGCACTTTGTGCTTCAATGGTGTGGGACAAAATAGAGCCCCTGAAGAGAAGAGGGGTCAGGGCAGAGGAGGAAGTGGTTGAGGAAGCAGATTTCAGAGGTGGGTGCAGGAGACAGGGGCTGGAGGAGGCCGTTTGAAGAAGTTGTAGCCAGGAATCTAAGAAACCCAAAAGCTATTTCTAAGACTCATTCCAAATGTTTCTAATTTCATTCATATCTTTTTGTTTCCTTTACTGCTTAACTGGGACAAGAAACTAAAGCCAGGAAAGTCCAATCATAGTGGGAAACAAAAACCTAAATATTGGAGAGAGAAAAAAGGCCGTTCTTTGCAAAGCAGTTCTGCCGCTTGCTTGTCTCCCATTGTTGGTGTTACTGTGGAAAATGTATAACATCACTCTTTTGGAAAGCACTAGTGCCTGTTCAAGTAGAGATGGTTTATATAGTCTAACATGGAAGAACTTGAGGATATCTATTTCTTTACCATTTGCCTAATAATAAGTGAGCCTGTTGACCTCCGCTGGACTATTACAAATGTGAAACTTGGCACTCAAAATTGCTTGCTCTAAATTTTCCAGTTGCTTTCTCTTTTTCCATTTGATGTCATCCTGCCAACTAGTGATTTTATTATTATAAACAGGACATTGTATTCACTTTTAAGAAGAAATATGAAGCTGAAGGTAAAATTACAAACTGCAGTTTCTCAGCTGGCAAAATACAAAACAATGAGCTAAAAATACTGAGCAGAGAAAGGGTGCTGTGGCAAAAAACTCTGAAATATCTACAAGATGGATGTGGTCTGAGGAACAGACACTGACTGACTTTCACCGAGCAGCTCTGAACTCCTGAGAATCACCGAACGTTTGAGGTTGGAAGGCGCCTCTAGAGATCATCTACTCTAACCCCCTCGCTCAAAGCAGGGTCAGCTAGAGCAAGGCTGCTCAGGGCTGTGTGCCTTTGGGGTTTAGATATCTCCAGAGCTGGAGATTCCACAACCCCTCTGAGGAACGTGTTCTGGGGTTCAATCACCCTTGCAGTGAAAACGTGGGCATTTTTTACCTTTAAATGGAATCTCCTGTGTTTTGTGCCCATGGCCTCTTGTCCTACTGCTGGATACCCCTGAGGAGAGTCTGGTGCTCTCTTATTTACTCCCTGCCATCAGGTCTGTTTTCACATTTGTGAGATCTGCTTGCGTGAGCTTCTCTTCTCAAAGCTGAACAGTCCCAGCTCTTTCAGCCTCTCCTTGTAGGTTGGATGCTCCAATTCCTTAATCATCATGGAGGCCCTTCAGCACACTCACACCAGTAAGTCGATGTCTTCCTGGTACTGGGGAGCCCAGAACTGGACACAGCGCTCCGGCTGTGGTCTCACCAGTGCCAGGTAGAGGGGAAGGATCGCATCTCTGACCCGCTGGACCATTCTTCCTAGTGAGACCCAGGAGGCTGTTGGCCACCTTTGCTGCAGCGGCATGTTGTTGGTCCATCGGGATCCCAGGTCCTTTCCTGCCAAGCGGCTTTCCAGCTGGTTGATCCCCAGCCTGTACTGGTGCACCGGCTCCCCCTGTGCAGGACTTTGTTTTTCTCTTTGAGCTTCATGAGATCCCCATCAGCCCCTTTCT